CAAATGAAAGAGTCGATATTTAATTAGAAATTTTTTTTAAATTGATCTGAATCAGTTTATATCTTTTATCTGTTGTAAATTCTTTTTAATTGGTACAATTACCTTTGCAATGGCAGCACAAGGACAGAGAGAGAAAAAACATTCTTAATGAATACAGTATGTTTGTGTAATTGTCAGTGCAAAGAAAGAAGAATGAGGAAGAAGAGGGAGGGGATAGAGAGAAAGTGTCCAAGACCAGGAAGAACCGGGTGTGAAACAATAACCATTTAGCCAAAACAAAAAAAGAAAAAGAAAAGCTTTTCTTTTTTTCATTTTTAAAGAATACATAAATTGTGGGTATTCTACAGGAAAGGAAACACAACTTGTGGCATAAATAATTTCAAGTACCTCCTTAATGGGAGCCATGGTTTGTTTGTTTTTTCTCTCACTCTATCTCTCTCACTTTTTTTTCGCTTCACGCCGCACATAAGCCTTGTGTTTGCGCTGAGCAGATGGGGAGGGGTGGTAGTTACGCTCGCAGTAGCACAGGAACAGAGCAGGAGGGAGAGTGAGCGTGAGAGCCAGGGACAACAACAACAGACAACATCGTCACATTAGGAAGGTACAGTAAAGAAAATGAGTGACACCATGAAAAGAAGCAAAATCTGGAAACATTTCAATTTTGTTGGCAATACATAGGCAGAGTGTAGAGTCTGCTAGAAAAGGATATCATACAGAGCCGGCTCCATAAACAACCTGCACAGGCACCTGAGAACTGTCCACCCATCAGTGCAATGGGAAGATAAAACACAGTCAGTTGAGTGTGATATTAATGAAGGTGCTAGTGTGTCTACTACAACTGTTGCTGCTGCTGCATCTACAGCATCATAAACGATTCAGAAAAGTTTATTCATGCGCTGAATCCTATGCAATTCCAGGCAGGAAAACAGTGCCCCAAAAAATCATCCCAGGCCTACATGAAAATATGTTTTGCATATTTTAATTTATATTTTATTGTGTTGTGGCTTGCAGTGTTTTGTTTTGTTTCACTTTAAATTTGTGTAAAAGGAAAACACTGAAAATTTAAATAGTTAAAAGTTGAATTGTAAATAGTTGTTTTTTGTATTTTATAATTTATTTTTTACATTAGTAAAATTAGTATTAGTATTACTAATACATTAGTATTAGTAAAGTGAATAAATAAAAGCATATAATAAACATATATAAATAAAAACCAATTTTTTTTACATTACTAATTCATTTTGTGCATAATTTTATATTGTTGTTAATAATAAATTAATTAAAGCAGGTTGGGAGCCGAAAGAGCCGGCTCTCTAAAAAGAGCCGGAATTCCCATAACTAGTATACAGGAAAGGAGACATGCCTTTTCTGTACACTCTTTTTCAAATTTATATTTGAAAAGTGATTGTGAAAAACAAAAAATTAAGATAGACTTGGTGCCATCATTATAAGGTCACTTACCACTTCAAATTTTGATGGGTTTTGCTTCTTAGCCAAAAAGGCTGTCAAGGTGTTGTTATCATGCCGAGCAGGTGGCATGGACACTCAAGTTTGAGAATGCAATAATAAGGTAGGACTTTCAAATCGATATCAAACCTCTTTGTACAGGAGGCTGAGAGAAAAAAGAAAAGAAAAAAAGAGGTTTGAGAG